TAAAGCCTGATCCAAGAATAAAACAAATCAGAAAATTACTTTTTTTGGTTTGAATTCCTTATTTGGCCTTTTAACAAAATATGTAAAAAGAAAAAACTAAAATAAATGTTTATTATTGATCATTTATTACTATGCGATAAGTCCAGATTATTTTTTGTGTAGCCTTCTGCCCCCTGTTATCAGGTGTATCTGATTGTGTACAATAGGATTTAGAGCAAAGTTTTTACCATTAAATTATGCAAAAGGTGTCAGACGCAAAACATTTCAGAAAACTTGTGTCCCGTCTTGGGGAATGTCTGGTGTGTTGTCATGTCTTGATTACCTATTGTGTTCACCTGGGGTTCCCCTCCCTCATGTGGTTAAATAGTCCTGTTTCCCATGTCCTGTGACAGTGTGTTTTCGTCATTGTTTCTTCTTTCTGTTTTCGTCACCCCTTGCCACGTAAGGTTTTGATTTTTGCACTTTGCCATAGCCATGTTTTTGTCACAGCCATGTTTTGTCACAGTCATGTTAATCTTGCTTTGATATTTTGCCATAGCCTTGTTAACTTTATTGCTTTTGCCATAGCCTTGTTTACTCTTACTCTGATACTTTGCCGCAGTTTTGTTAATCTTGCTTTGCTACTTTGTCCATAGTTTTCTCACAGCCTCGTTTTTTAACCATGTCTGCCATCCACTAATTTTGAGTGTGTTTTTGTTAAAATAAACCCTTTTCACCAATCTCCACGACTGAGTCCTCCCTAAGATCACCACCCCATGACACCGTATGTATCAGATATGATAGGTTTGGCCTTACAGGGTTAATGACCTTTAGGGGAGTGGAGTAGAGGCTCTGAGTGCGTGATGGCGGCTCGAGTTCTGTTGTCTTATTTGGAATAATGTAATTAGCCACGCTTCCCTTCCCACACAAAACCTTTCTGGCTCTGCCTGCCGCATGGCTTCATTCCCATCGAGAACCATTTGTTGACACATCCTTCACTTGTAATTCTGAAAGCGTAACGTGATGTGACACAACATGCTTTTAAAACCACGCGGCCTGGGATCAGCAGTCGGGAGGGAGCGGGAGGCTGACCGGGACGGGTCGGGGACAGCAGCCAGGACTCTGAGAGCCGGCCAGCCCTTTTTGGTATTCACGGGGCTCCTGGCCGGCTGCCACCGTAAAGGCTGAGGGAAAACAGGCAGCAGAGGCTAGTCTGCGGAGGCTAATTTGACCAGGATTAGCAGCAGAGACAAAGCTCCCAGATAGCAGCGTATCATTCGCTCAGCTCAGAAGGTGATTGGCTGCGATCTGCCACCCCTCCAGGTCCTGTACGCCTCCAGGACTTTAAGGAAAGATCACGTCTGATCCTTCTCACCCTGGTCACAAACTTTTGGAAACCCTCCCCTCTGGCAGAAGGGTGAGACCATCAGGACCAAAACCTCACGCCATAAAGACAGTTTTCTATCCAACAGCAACTGGCCTCATCAACAAGACCCCCACCTATTCTCTCCCCCCCTCTACCTCACTAATTTACCCAA